TGCCACCCCGAGTGAAATGCGATACCTGTTTGTTCAGGTGTTGGTCTTTGGTAATCCGAGCAATGCTCGCGAATTGTGGGAAAGATTTTTGGATCATATGATCAAGCGTGTAGGCACTGATCCAAATGGGAATATTCGAAATAGACTTATTGATCAGGCTTTAGCATTTATTGAAGCACAACTTGCGGACTATGGAATGACAAACCAACAATTTGGACTGGATTCTCCATCCCCCGGGATGCGACAAGACGTCGATGAAGCACTTGATGACTTCTTCTTTGGAGACAAAGATGAAGATGACACTGCAAGCGGTAAAAAACCTACAATTAAACTTAACGACGACCAAGAAAATGTATGGACTGCTGTTCAAAATGCTATCCAAGGAACTTCATCAAATACCATCTTTGTAACAGGAGATGGCGGAACTGGAAAGACTTATCTATTCAATGCTATAATTTCGAGATTACGAGACATGCGTATCCGTGTAATTGCTTCGGCATATACTGGCTGTGCAGCGACACTTTTGACTGGTGGTGCTACCGTTCATTCGGTATTTAGGTTTGGAATTAATATTGATGAGAATTACACCCCATCAGTGGCCATGCAAAGCTTTCACGGAAAACGCATTAGCGACAGTCAGGTTATTATTATTGATGAAGTTTCTATGCTTCCCAAGCATATGTTGGAGGCAATTGATCGCGTCTGCAAACAAATGTGCTCACCAAACATGAAACATCTTCCATTCGGCGGCAAGGTTATCATTCTCAGCGGAGACTTCAAGCAATCACTTCCCGTGGTTGCTGGAGGTGGTATGCGAGATCAAGTGAATGCCTGCATACAGTCTTCACAATTGTGGCCGCTCTTTAGACAGAACATTATAACGCTGAACATTAATATGCGTCAGGGACAGAATGAAATTCAATTCACTGATTGGCTGCGTACAATTGGAATCGGCAAATTAAACGGAAAAGTAAATAAGGAAGTGGAGATTGAAGGTAGAAATTTAGTAGTTTCGCGCCAAGAATTGATGAATTTTATCACTGACAATGGTAAAGCTCTTTCAAATCCGAAAGAGCTCATTAACAGACTAATATTAGCGCCACATAATGACACTGTAAATGTGATCAATGAAGACATTCTAAAAATGATTAAGACCAAGGAAAGAATTTATTACTCGACGGATGAATCAAACGTTGAGATGCCAATGGATTTTGATGAATGTGATCATGATGTTGAACAATTAAATCTTTTAAATCCTCCGTCAATTCCACCACACCGGTTACAACTTAAAGAAGGATGTATTATAATTCTTTTAAAGAATTTGGGAGTAAGTAGAGGACTTGTGAATGGCACAAGAATGATTGTAAAAGAATTAGGGGCTGATATTCTGAAGGTTGAGGTTGTAACCGGTTCTGTGGCTGGCTCAGGAACTATAATTTGCTTTCACGAGTGTGGTGTGATTACGAAGATAATAGACCGGATGGAGTTAATTTCCGACGGTTGCAGTTTCCAGTTCGTCTTGCATATGCAATGACGATCATGAAGGCCCAAGGCCAGACTGCAACAAGAGTTGGACTCGACCTCACACATCAAGTGTTTGGTCATGGTAATCTATATACAGCTCTTTCGAGAGTTCGTACTGCTGATTCTTTTAAAGTTTTTGCACCACATGTAAATGAAAAGGAAAAGACTAAGAATAAAATGATAAAAAATGTAGTCGCCGATGGCTTGGAATTCTTCTAATGCCTTATTGAACTTTTCACGGACATGATTCACAATGCTATGCCACTGGCCTGGATATACTTATCCTGAGCCTTCGTCAACGTATGCTTTAGTCGCCAATGGCGAATATATTACTTTATCTTAGCCTCTAAGACGCCTTTGGCGTATGTTTACTTGATCATTAGCCTCTCGGTCGCCGATGGCGGTAGGAATACTTGTACATAATGTATATATTTTTAAAAAATAAAAAATACAAAAAAAAATTGAAAAATTAAAATCCTAAAAATTTAAAAATACCTAAAAAAATACAAAAAAATTTCTTATCCCACAAAAAAACAAAAAACTAAAAAAATTCTTAAGAGAGAGAGACAGAATTCCAAAAATAAAAATAAAAAACCCAAAAAAAATTCAAAAATTAAAAATCCTAAAAATGTAAAAATAAAATTAAAAAGTACAAAAAAATTTCTTATCCCAAAAAAAATAAAAAAAAAACAAAAAAATTTCTTATACCAAATAAAGAAAAAATGGTGTACAAGGTTTTCCACACCTGACAGGCCTCCCCGTGGCCGTACACCGGTAACTCCTGCTATAAAGGCTGTTGTGAGCCATGCAGTTGAGGCTGACTATAATAGTCACAACACTATTATGGAGTCAAAGTGGTCAACCCATAATATCCAACCCATGTAACTTTGTCAAATTTACCCCTAAATTCTTACAAAAAATATTTTTAGACTCAGCACGATAAATGCTTTCGAATGATATATCATTTGCCCCACTTATCATTCTTTTTGGAGAAATACTTTTTTGGCCGAAAATTTTGGCCGAAAAAATCACCAAAATTTTTAAAAATTCATATCTTTTTTAATCTGTGATCTATTTACAAGTTTTAAAGTTCTTTTCTATGTAGAAAAATCTGCTCTATTCGAGAAAAATACTTCCATAATCAACATCTATCGAAAATCTGGAAAAATTTTCGAAATATCGAAAATTTTTGAAATTTTTGAAAATCGACCCCTACGTCCCCAGCTCTGGGGTTACATGCATTTTTTTCATTTGTAAAAATTTCAAATTTTTAGTGTTATTTTATAAAACAAACCCGACCAGGAAATCTTAATCCTTTCTAATGTTATGACGATTTTAAAATTTTCAAATATTTTTCATAAGGGGTACCCCTTTGGAAAAAATCAGGGGTACAAAATTTTCGAATTTTGACTCAAAAATGTGTTTTATAGTAGAATTACACACGCTGAGCACGAATCCGGTGTCGAAAAAATTCTAAAAAAAATCCCCGAGCAGTTAGAGTCTCAAACACATTCAGTCCCAGACAACTTTTGGCCCATATCTCACTCAGACTCAAGAAGAAACCCAACAAAGTATATATTTTTCGAGTGAATTGAGGGTGCTTTACAAGAATATCTGTTTAGGTTTCACTAATCACGCTTCTTCAGCTACTCAACTGGTATAGTACTCCTACCCCCTAACATTCAGACATCTATAACATGGTCGAAGTTGACCCTAAATTTTTACAAAAAATATTTTTAGACTCAGCTCGATAAGTGCTTTCGAATGATAATCATTTGCCCCACTTAATGATATTTTTGGAGAAATACTTTTTTGGCCGAAAATTTTTGCCGGAAAATTTCCCAAAATTTTTAAAAATTCATTTCTTTTTTAAATACCGTCTATTGTCTCATTTTAAAGTTCTACACTATGTAGAAAAATCTGCTCTATCATATAAAAATACTTCCATCTTCATACCTTTCGAAAATCTGGAAAATTTTTCGAAAAACCGAAAATTTTTGAAATTTTTGAAAATCGACTCCTACGTCCCCAGCTTAGATGTTACATGAATTTTTTTCATTTGTAAAAATTTCTAACTTTTAGTAGTATTTTATAAAACAAACCTGACACACAAATCTCGATTCCTTCCAAAGTTATGACCATTTAAAAATTTCAAAATATTTTTCATAAGGGGTACCCCTTTGGAAAAAATCGGGGGTACAAATTTTTCGAACTTCGATAAAAAAAATGTCTCATATGGTGGATTAGCATGCGCTGAGCACGAATCCGGTGTCGAAAAAATTCTAAAAAATTTCTTGGGGCAATTAGAGTCTCAAAACCATCTCAGTCCAAGTCAAATTTTGACTACTTTTGACCCCTATCTGACTCAGACTCAAATGGAACCCCAATAAAGTATATATTTTTTTAACAATCAGAAGAAGCTCTAAACGAATCAAATTAGATTTAATGTACATCTCCAATCAAAAAACAAATCTAGCGTGCTTTTAAAGCCGCAGGCTTTCCACGCGCGTCCCTGGACGCGCCCCCAAACTATCAGAACCTAATAGTATTGTAACTAAACGCAGCCCCCGATGTATTTAACCGCCAGTGTCCTGATATGCACCCAACTACTCACCCTGCAGCTGGTTAAAAATTAGAAAAAATCTACTATTTAAAAAATTACAGTGTGGGGTCCAAGTCGCATATAATATGGTAAAAATCCCTTCCAAAGTGCAAAAAATCCTTCATTTTTGAGTACCCGTCCAACAACATCAGAAATTCCAGTAAATTCAGGTTTACCATTAATAACTCGCATATTCTGTATCCTTGAAATATATGCAAATTTAGAATATTTGTTTTATAAGTACCTTGTTTTGATTATGTCAACAGGCATACTTGCTGCCGTAGTGGCGAGTCCACTTATCCTATTAATTTTATTTTTAGAAATCAAAAATTCCATACTTTTATAACTAAATTACTCACATTGATGCACAAAAATGTAGTTGAATTCCTTCATTAAGGCCAGCTGACATGAGATATTGTTTAGCTTGTGAATATGTGGCAAGCTGCGCCGCGTTTACAACCATTGCCCTTACAACTGATAAAAACGGATTTTGAATGTTTGTGTTGTGGATGGGACACACTGGGATTTGGGGGTAATAATCGACCCCTGGTTTCAACCTTGGTGGGAGTTTCGGACGAAAAAATCGGTGTAACATTTTTGGCGTCTTAATTTGTAAAAAATAATTCCTTTTTACTCAAGTGCCTCATTGAAATTTTGTATCAGCAAAAAACATCCGCAAATTTTGTGCCACAGTTACTCGCGCTGAATTTAGATCCTTGGGAAGTACCTATATATATTTCATTACTCACGCCAAAAATATTGCCAATTTCCTCGCTATAATTGTCCCATTGCATTTGTGTTACCGTCAAATTATTGACTTTTAGAATTATTCAAAAATACCTGTAGGAGTGCATCCCTAAAAAGTAATCTTTAATTAATTGCAAATTTTTATCTTCACCCTCCACAAAGTGACTACTCCTTCCTCTCGAGTAACTCTGATAAGTGCATCTAATACATTTTTATAATTTCTCCTCTCGTTTATAGGCAACCGTCCATCAGCGGTCATTCGAACTAGTGCTAATTCCATTGGATTTCTGAATGAGTGATTTAAAAGATATACAATAAAAACAAACCCAAAAAGTGAAGCAATGCCACCAGATGTCATGCCAAGACCAGCCTTTATTGCAAATGATGGACTCCTTCCTTCGTGGCTGCAAAATTCTAAAAGCCAGGTATATAACCCAAGTCTAGTAGTCGTATATATTGCTTGACGAGCCAAACCAGCAGAAAGGCCTAAAATTGTTAGGAACATAAAAAACACGTGGGTGAATTTCACCATTGTACAATGCAACAAACCCCTCATTTCTGACAATTGAACGAACTGCATGAAAAGTTGAAGAGTACTCACGTTTGCCTTGCATTCCTGACAATTGCATCCTATCCTTCCGAATCCAAATATTATCATTAGGTTTAATGAAAACCAACCTATTTTTCACTAGATCCAACGGTTGAACAAATAAAGTTGCACCCATACCTGACAGACCACCAAACAAAAACTTAATATAACCGGGCGTTTTAAATTCCGAAATTGAAACATTCTTTGATTTCGTAGTTGATGACATTTTCTGAAGCAAAACAATTAATGAATCAACAATGAGTAAAATACTTATTGCTATAAATCCAGTAGAAAACTAGAGTTTAAGTAAAAAGACCGAATACCGGGACCGGCAATTCAAAAGTTCGAATTCTACTAACAGGAGAACAAAAAATAAAAACCCAGAGAAATCAAAACAAAACCCAAAATAAAAACAATAATAAAATTTTATTTTTGGGGAAAAGTCGACAACTGACGCCCGAACTTTTCGCGCATAATCGGGTGCGGCCAACCCTGCGCCCCAAACGAGGTGTGACACTAAACATGCCTTTTAAATTGTTTAACTCTACTCCTAAAATAGAAGAAAACTAAACATTAAATTAAGCTTTTATGTTCGATTTACATAATTGGCAACCTTCAACAATTGAGGGTCTACCCCAAATAATCGCGTGAAACAGTAAAAACGTGTAAAGGGAATTTGATGACTGTTATAGTAAAATTGTGAATTCGGTAGTTTATACTGTAGCACGTTGAGTCGAATTATTTGCTTTTTTTTTTAATTTTTTAAGAACCAAAAGAAATTTGCTGTACTTTTTTCTTAAAATTTTACTTTAAAAATTTTTAGACAAACAAATCCTTATTAAAATCTTTAAAAAAAGCGTTCAAATGGCGGCAATTTCTTCGTCAAACAACAATTCTGGATCTAACATCGTCCAGCAAGTGTCTACTAACTTCAATCCTTCTTGGTTTTTCTTTTTTTTCTTGCCCAGTATAATTTTGTAATTAAAGGATGCAACAAACGATGCCGTCTACTCGATCTGTTATATCAAATCAACAGAAACCTGTTAATGCTGAGGAGGTTTATTTTTGCATTTTGCTGTTGTACTAATCTTATTTATTTACAGCCATGTGACCCAATCTTTGCGAAACATAGGTTTTTCTTTTTAAAATTAATTTAAACATGGCTTCTAGTATCAAGGATTTTTTCTAGTAGGTTTTTAAATAATTTTTTAATCACTTTGCAGTTATGGGCGTGAGGATCTCTTAGCGATGAGAGGAAAGGACGGAGTAAAACCACCTTCTGGAATCGAGAAATGTCCGTTCTTTGTAGAGTCCTCACTGACTCCTGTTGTTCTTTTGCCGTTAACCGAAATAGAAATGGTTTTGTTTTCTTAAGTTTCTTTTTTTAATTTATTTTCACTAGCGTCTCCAACAAAACGTAAATTCAAGCAAAGCACTAAGTGCATTCAACCGAACTCAAGGGCACAATGAGGCAAATAGCGGAGGCGAGATGGCCGTTGGTGGAGGTGCTTGGACTTCAACTGGTCATTTTAAATTCTTATGTCTTTTAATAAAGATATTATTTTAGGTCGATCGGGTTCTGGGTCTACATCTTTTACTGCTCCATCTCGTAGATACCAAAATTCTGACACCAAAGTTCCAAATCGTTGGAGCGCTCTTAATTCATCAAACACTGGTGGTCCACCTCCTCAACGACAACAATCTTGGAAAAATGCGCCTAGTGGAAGTAGCGGTGGAAATCTAGCTGGAAATATTGAGCAACCAAGTTTTCATGAAAAATCTGGGGCAATTAATCAATTCGAAGGACTGAATACCATTGGAAGCAAAAAAAATCATCAGGGATCAACAATCGGTCAACCAACAGATCAGAATAAAAGAATCATTGAATCGGTTTCTCTCAGTGAACAAAGTACAAATTAAATTTTTTAAAATGGTTTTTATTAATTTACAGAAGACAAGCGTGTTGAGCATTTTGACCATTCATCGTCTACAAAAAATATCTCTCCTGGACAATTTGATTCTTTCCCCACGAATACAGCTGCGATTTCAAAAATTGATCCTATTGAAGCTACTGGGACAGTTGTTCAACCCGTTCAGCAGCCGGATAAATGGAATTATTTAGATCCTAGCGGTGTAAGAATTCTTTTACTAACATCTTTTTCCGTAAATGTGAATTGTAATTTGGGAGTTCTTTGTTTCAAAATAATCTTTCGAACCTACTCCTAATGCTACCTTTTATAGTACTAGGTTAGATCACAACCTTTTGTTATCAGGTACTTCAGTTAATCCAAATTTTAAAAAACCCTGTCTTCTGTTTTCAGTTTTAGTTTTTTAATCCCTCATTTTCAAAAATTTTTTGGCAAAAAATATAATTTTTGGTTTAAAATTGATTGTGTCCACCCCTAGTTTATATGCATATCATTAAGTTCAAATCCTTAAACACTTTCACTTTTAGGTACAGAGAGGGCCTTTTGATTGTCAGCAAATGCAGGCCTGGTTTGCAAGTGGTTATTTTACGACTTCTCTTCAAGTTTGTAGACTTGGTGATTCTAACTACCAGAAATTGGGTTTTTTTTGTTTTCCTTTATTTAATTCATACTTATTTTCCTACACCAGGTGATTTGTTTCTTATCAACGGTGAACATACTCCTTTCATCTCAAAACATACTGGAGGCAAAAGTCCGACTATTGCAAATTCTCAGAGACCTATAGAACAAAGGCAAAAACATTAACATATTAGGATAAATTGTTACTTATATTTTAGAATTAGTCCTTCTGACCTCCTTAGTGCTATGACGGCTTCCAATTCGACCTCTGGCCCAACTCTCGGATTGGCTGACGTGGAGAGAATTTGGGGTACTACACCACTCGACGACGGAGTGGTTATTTCATCAGACACTCTGTCAAAAGCAAAAATATTTGATGGTAGAACTGCCGTTGCCGATATGACAAAAACTTCCATTTCTACTAGTGGTTTTGCCCATTCTGCATTTTCACAGCACCTTAGAGAGTATGAATTGGAAAAGGTTTTTTTCTTCCAATTATTTTGGTTATTTTCTGTTCTAGACTCTTCAAACGCGTGAAGCATTAATTGAAGAAGAGCAGCAAAAGTTACGCGAAAAAGAGGAGCAGCTTCGACGAGACGAAGAAGAGCGCTCTGAGAGAGAGCGAAAAATGCAAGAAATGGAGGAAGTTCTTAAACGCAAACAAAGTGAGCTCAATCGGATTGCGCGTGAAAAGGATGATGAATTTGATAAGAGGTGCCAGCAAATGGCTGAATATGAACGTAAGAAACGTGAAGAATTAGCGGCGTTAGAACAAAGGATACTTAATGAACAACAGAGGCAGCAGCTACGAATGGTTTGTTGTAACTTTTCACTATTTTTACAATTTTTTTTGTAATTTTGGAAAGTTTTACGTAAGTTGTAAATTTTAGGAGGAAGATAATCGTCGCAGAGCTAAAGAACTTCAAGAAATTTTATCACGTGAGAAGGAACGTCAGCGTCATATGTTAGAAGCCGAAACTAAACGCAAGCGGGAGGAGGAGGAAGCTCGCATGAATCTGGCACTCCAAGCAGCCCAGCATACTAAAGAGGTAATTTTACTCAACTGATCTTGTTCGATAAGATAATTTAATCTTTTTAGCTCGAGCAAGAACAAGCCAAAAAAGCTGATGAAGAGCAGCGTCGACGTCTTATTAAAGAACAACAGCGCCAACAGCAGCAGGCATTTGAGGAGGCACATGCTGAACGCATTCGACAACAGGAAATCGCCGCGCGAGCCGAAGCGGCGGCAAAAGCGGAACAACAAAGGATCAAGTACTTGTTATTCTTTTATATAAATTTAAAAATTTAAAGGGATCGTTATGCAGAACAGCAAACAGCAGATCAACAACACGCAGCAAAGGTTGCATGGCAAACTATTCCTCAGGTTACAAAACCCATTCAGATGAATATTGTTCCGCCAGTAACTCACAATCAGCAGCAAACTTCAGCTACAAATAAAACGTCATCTACTACTTCTGATCGTGAGCGTCGAGGATGGCAGCAAGTACAAATGCCAAAACCTGCACCTATTCCTCCAGTTATTGGGAAAGGAAGTGGAGGAGCGAACGCTGCTATAACAAATCAGCAACAGCAGTCCGTCGGAGCTAAGAAACATTCCCAGCAAAAGAAAGTTAATGACACAAAAACTAAATCGCCAAAGCAACAAGTATTTGAATTTTAGGTTTACAAGAATACATTTTATTTTTCAGCCAGTAGTGGCTGACAAATTCACCCAATGGATTATTAATCGTGTTAAAGAGTTAAATTCATCAGTTGATGCTGAAGTTTTTGCCAATTTTATTGCACAAGTCGACTCTCCTGATGAGGTATTTTGTTTTTGTTTATCATAATTTTTTAATTTATTTAATAGGCTGAAGACTACATAATCGGTTATTTGGGTGATAATAAAATTATTAAAGACTTTCATCGTGAGTTTCTTAATAAGCGGATTGAATTACGTCCTAGAGTACAACAGCCACGAAAAGATGTTTGTTTTATATTTGAAAGGTGTATCCAGGAAAAATTTCCATAAGTTGTGGACTGGAATCGGATGGGTGGTAAATATGGTTGTCGGTTCCTGGAAATAGTTCGGATAACCGAACCGAAAAACCAAATTTTGAGTCTTTGTAAAGGGCTAAAAACAGTTCGGAACGCCAAAATTCTGCCCTCTCATTTTAGACCCCCTGGATACACCTTTGATTGATAGAATATTTAATCGTATGCTAATTAAATGAACTTTAAGGATTTGTCTGGACCAGCGGCAGCTTTAACTGCAGATGTAGCAGAGCATTCTAAGTCTGTCAACACTGCGTTAGCACATTCCAAACAAAATGTTACTATGACCGCAAATAATGCATCCTCCGTTAAAAAGAAGAAACAGAAGCAGCAAAAGGTTTATATTTTCTGTTACATAATTATTTAAAAAATATAATTTAAAGGTTTTGGATCCCGCCACTCTGGGTTTTCGTGCTGTGCCAGATCCAAATCGTGTGAATGCTGGTGAGATTGATTCAGTTCCTCCAGCACTACCAGGAACAAATAGAAAGCGCTAGTGATATAAATATATTTTAGAATTTATTGCTTCCTGGAAAGGCAAAAAGTAATTGACATACCACCAACATTTTTCTATTTTGATGGATTTTTGGGAAATATAGAGAAATATTTTTTTGTTTGTACTTGAGTGTGTATTGGTGATAACTTTTCTCTCTCCCACATCTATCTTTCCGTTTCTATCTCTTTTACTCTGCGGATATTGCGCATAAAGATAAAATTTAAATTTATTTTCTCAATTATCAGTTGTTAAAGACGATCAATTAATTCGCCTCAATTTCTTTTAAGATTAATAATTTGAATTTGTATATTGAAAGTGATTGTCTCGTTATATTAGAAGTTTAAATGCATGTTGATTTTGAAACAAATATTAATCAACCCAAAGAGGGGCATTTTCCGATGAATTTAGACAAATCGCGTTTAAATATTTCTGTTCGTCTCTTTTCTGAAGATAATAAAGAATTAAGTAATGCTCCAATTGTGGTAAATTTTTTAACTTTATTAACATTTTATGTTTAGCTACCTTCAACAACAAAAGTCGATCAGTTGGAACAACTTTATTATAGCCTTTTGGATATCGACTTGGAAGAAGAACAACCACCAGTTCATTTTCGTGTAGCGGAGAGGTCGGAAGATGGGGGTTGGATAGATATTGTCGATACTTTGGGTGTTTCTCTTCCCTCTGAATGTTTAGTTACTGAAAAGGTTTTCTTATCTAATAGTTTAAATGATAATTTTGGTTTTAGCCTATTGAATTGTTTTGTCTGCCTCAGGCTGTATTTCGCGTCAGGCCTGTTACAAGATGTATTGTGTTAATTTTTATTATGAATATTACTTTCTCTTTTAGGTGCTGCTTCATTGCCTGGTCATGGTTAGTATTAGAGATAGAACTTTTGAGGTTTCCTTCTTGATAATCGAAATTTTTGAGCGAAATCTCTTCTTGCCCGATCTCTAAGTATTTACTAATGGCATTTACAACTTTTTTCTTCTAGGTGAACCTTTAATTAGTGTAAAATTCAGTCCAAATGGGTCAACACTTGCTTCTGGTTCTGGCGACAAAACTGTAAATAAAAATGAAAAATGCTTTTTTTATAATTAAGGTCCGCCTATGGGATACAAAATCACAACTTCCTCTGGTATATTTTTTTAATTTTATGCTTATTTTATTTTAAATTTAGCAAACACTTACCGGTCACCAACATTGGGTATTATGTATTGCTTGGTCACATGATGGAAATAAAGTTGCATCAGCTTGTAAACAAGGAATAGTTAGTTAAATATTTTATTGTGCTTGTTAGAATAAAAATAATTTTTTGATTTTACTTTTTTATTAGATTCTTATTTGGGAATATGACAGTGATACCAACAAATTTCGATTATTCAAAAAGTTGACAGGTCATAAGCAATGGATCAATGCGTAAATTCTCAAAAATTTTCATTAATCACATTTTAAAACATTAAAGACTTGTGTGGCGTCCTCTTCATCTTGAAGCCCCTTCTAGGTCTTCTTGATTAAAATTATTTTTAATTATTCTGAATTTTAAAGATTGTTAGCAAGTGCAGGTCGAGATGCGTCGATTCGTATTTGGGATGTAATTAAATCACAAACTTTATTCGTGCTTAGCGGTCACACTGCTTCTGTTAGTGCTTTTAAATTATATTTGAAAATTTTATTTTTAAGGTAACAGATATTCGATGGAGTGGAAATGATTTAATATATTCTGGGTCACAGGTAATTTTCAATCAAAAAACTCTTTTTTATTTAATAATTAAAGGATAGAACAATAAAAGTTTGGAGAACGAATGATGGTGTATTGTGTCGAACACTTGAAGGCCATGCTCATTGGATAAATACTTTAGCTTCAAATGTTGATTATGTTTTACGTATTGGATCATTTTCCCCCGAAGAGGATAGTAAACAAAAACAAATATCAATTTCAAACACTCAGCCTCTGGAAGTTTGTAAATTTTTTTGATTTATGTATTTGCAATCATAAAAAGTCTGGGCTATAATTTAAATTTTTATCAAATTCAGTTCGTATCGGCTCGTCGAACTTTTTTGAACTTCCAGAAATTGTTTTTGATACAAAAATAAAATTCTAAAGTGTGGCCCAGTTTTTTTATATACTATAATAGCTTTTTTGTTTAGTCATAGTTTATTTTTAGGCACAAAAAATCGCAAAGAAACAATATGAAAAAATGTTAAACTGTCACCCCGAAAGACTAGTCTCCGGTTCAGATGATTTTACTGTATGGAGATACATATAAATTTAAAATTTATATTTTTCTAGTTATTTCTATGGGAGCCTGCCATTAAAAAACAGCCAATTGCCAGACTTACTGGTCACCAACAATTAATTAACCAGGTTCAGTTTTCACCTGATGGGCGTACAATTGCTTCTGCCTCTTTTGACAAATCAATAAAACTTTGGGATGGGTGGACCGGTAAATTTCAAACTTCGTTACGAGGTCATGTGGGGCCTGTTTATCAAATTGCTTGGTCATCTGACAGTCGACTTCTAGTTTCTGGTTCAGCAGATTCAACACTAAAGGTGGATTTAATGTTTTTAGTCTCCATTTATTGAATATTTTCTTATCATAGGTTTGGAACATGCAAAAAAGAAAACTAGGGCAAGATTTGCCTGGGCATGGTGACGAGGTGTTTGCAGTAGATTGGAGCCCAAATAGTGAATGCGTGGCAAGCGGCGGGAAAGATAAAGTGCTTAAACTATGGAAAAGATAATTTTAAATGAATTTGTTAAGTTTGTAAATGTTTATTTAAATAAAATTCAACAAATAACAAAAAAGGAATCATATTTCTCTCAAATTGAAAAATAAATCAAGATTGCCAGGAAACTTGAGATGATCAGCTTTCCATTTCCTCCGTTTTAGTTTCCTTCTTTTCCTTTTTCACTTTCTTTGATGCTCTATATTCAGCAACAACCACAGCGTGATCACGTTCATAAGTTTCAAGTGTCACCTAATATAAAAGCATTACCCTCCAAATTTGGAAATTCCATACCTGTTCAATCGGTTTAAACTGTTCTTCGCGTAATTTGTTCACTTCCCCAGCAAAAACTGCCTCTGGCTCAGCTGTGCTGTCAACACAATTTGCTTTTATTGAGATCACAACATGTCCATTGTTTTTCAAAAATTTGTGTGCATTATGAGCCACAATTCTTGCTTGATCAGGTTGTGCAACATCAGAAAAGATTGTATCAACAATCCCTACCTATATAAAAATTATAAAATAAATAAAAATTTATTTTCTCACCATCATTGCATATTTGTGTGGATGTCGAGCATCATCCACGATTGGAACAACATTTGGTCGTTTTTTGGCCATTCCCAAAAGATCACGACCACTTCTATGTGAGAATTCCACGGCATAAACAATTCCTTCCTTAAGAATTTACATTTAAAAATATTTCCCTAAAATTTCTTTTTTACCGGTCCAACAATATCAGAAACGTGCGAAACAGAAGTACCAGAAGCAGCGCCCAAATAAAGAACTCGAGCACCAGGAAAGATGTGTGCATCTTCAACTCCTGCCATTATAGCAGCCGCTAATTTAGAACGGAAAGGATTCCAAACGCGATATTCTGTTGTTGTTTTTTGTTCATCTTTTTTAAATATTAAATTATTTTTTTATAAAAATAAACAAATTTACCAGTATCATTTGAGTGTTCGTTTTGAATAGAGACTCGTTTTTCTCCATAAACTGACTCACCAGGCACCATATTTTTTGTTACTAAAGCATCTTCTTTGCCTTTTACAATGAAAACTCCTAAATTTTTAAATAAATATAATTATTTTTATTTAAAAAAACCTTTTAAACGGTGAGGTTCAATAATTACTTTTTTTCCTCCTTTCATTCCACTACCCCCTCTTCCTCCGCGGCCTCCTCCTCCTCTTCCGCGTGGAGAACCACGAGGACTTCCACGAAAGCTTCCACCACCTCCACTTGATCGCCTATCACCGCTACCAAATCCATTCATTTGTCCCCCTCCTCTTCCACCGCTACCACCACGGAAGCCTCCACTACCTCCCCCTCTTCCTCCACCACGACCACGAAAACCTCCACCACCACCATCACCTCTAGGACGAAAACCTGAAAATTAATTATTTAGACTAATTCAAATATATCAAACTAACCTCCTCCACCTCCGCGACCACCTCCACCACCACGAGACATAAATCCTGGACGACCCATTTCTTTTTATTTCTTTATTATATTTAAGACTGTTTAAAAGAAATTAAAAAAAAAGATTAAATAATTATAAACAAAAAAAACAATTCGGAAATAAACCGAAAATTAAAACAAAATATTTTTAATAATATTTTATTGTCAGAAAAAAATCAAAATTGTGGTTTGGGTTTTGTAATTTCTTTAGAAACTTCCAATTTTGGAGGCGGAGGCTTAAAATTAGCTCCTCTAAATTTCTCAAGTTTTTTCTCTTTTTTCTTCATAAATTCTCTCCAAGAACCCCGCCTTTCATCTCGACTTTCTTCATAATTCTTCCTATATTCTTCTTCTAATTGACGTTTCTCAGAAGCTGTTTGTACAGCTTCAGCCAGACGACGTTTTTCATCATTAGCTCTTTCCTCCAACATTTTTCGTTTCTTTTCTCTGTCAGCAAAACACTAAAAATACAAAAAAAACGTTCAAAAATATAATTTTAAAACATACTTTTGTAACAGTTACCCACAAAGCCCGTGCATATCCTGCTGGAGTATCTTCCTCAACTGTGTCAGGCCTTCCTTCCTTTAAGAAAGATTAAATTAGAAATTAATCTATACAAATTTATAAACTTTTCGCAATTTTCGTTTCTTTTCACTAATTTGCACAGCCAATCGAGCTTTTGCTTCTTCATACATTTCTCTACATCGCGCTACTTCATCAGGATCTTCAAGCAACGATAAAGCTTTTTTCAAAGCATCAAAAGCCCTTTCTGCACGTTCTCGATTGTCAGGATTTTTGTCGGGGTGAATAAGCAAAGAAAGTTTTTTATATTTTTTTCTGGCATCGTCAACATTTGATTCAGGTTCAAGTTGTAATACTTCAAACGGATTTAAGTTCAAATAAGTAGAACCTGGACGAAGAATTCGATCAATTTGTTGCTCAGACGTAAGATTGGCATCACGTTTCTCCGTAAACTTTAAGTCACTATAAAATTGTTCAAAATAGTCCATTCCTTAAATCTTTGAAAATAAATTAGTTAAATACAGTGAATTGTAAACGGGAAATTTTTATTTATAGAAACGTCAGGAATTTTATGATACCAAGATTTTTTGGGAATTCCAGAACCTATGAGCAGTTTGTCTTGCGTTACTGCTTGCAGAATCAATAAAATACTGCAAGTCAATTAGTGAACGACATATCGACTTTTTCTTAAGGAAAAAAAGTCGTTTTAAAAAAATCTACAATTATTCGCGAACGACTTTTTTTAATAAACAAAACGCCAGAACTACGTAAATATCGATGTTTTACGCCAAACGATTGCGAAACGACTTGGCTCCTATACAACTCATCTAATCGTTAACTCATCTACTCGTTAACTCATCTACACGGCCAAAAAGAGTTAACTCATCTAATCGTTAACTCATCTAATCCTTAACTCATCTACACGGCCAAAAAGGGTTAACTCATCTAATCGTTAACTCATCTAATCCTTAACTCATCTACACGGCCAAAAAGGGTCAACTCATCCAATCCTTCGGAACGAGACTATTGAGTACCGGCCGTTTGAGTCTTTGGCCAGTAGAGTACCGCCGGTTGAGACTCAACTGGTCATGGACTCAACTGGCCATGGAATCAACTGGTCATGGACTCAACTGGCCATGGACTCAACTGGCCATGGACTCAACTGGTCATGGACTCAACTGGCCATGGAATCAACTGGTCATGGACTCAACTTACCAGAGACTCAGACGGCCAGAGACTCAGACGGCCAGAGACTCAGACGGCCAGAGACTCAAACGGCCAGAGACTCAGACGGCCAGAGACTCAGACGGCCAGAGACTCAGACGGCCAGAGACTCAGACGGCCAGAGACTCAGACGGCCAAAGACTCAAACGGCCGGTACTCAATAGTCTCGTTCCGAAGGATTGGATGAGTTGACCCTTTTTGGCCGTGTAGATGAGTTAAGGATTAGATGAGTTAACGATTAGATGAGTTAACCCTTTTTGGCCGTGTAGATGAGTTAACGAGTAGATGAGTTAACGATTAGATGAGTTTACCCTTTTTGGCCGTGTAGATGAGTTAAGGAATTTTAGCCGTTTAGATGAGTTGAACGTTTTTGGCCGTGTAGATGAGTTAACGAGTAGATGAGTTAACCGGACACGAACGACTTTTTTGTATCTCTTTTTCTCTAATTTTTCATTATATTTCCTTTCTCTTTTTCTATTAATTTTCGTCCGTGTCCGGACAAAATACCGAATCGTTAAAATATGGAATAGGCTAAAAAAGGGTTAAAATCTCGAATCGGGTAAAAAGGGTTAAAATCGCGAATAGGGTAAAAAGGGGTTAAAATGTGGAATCGTTAAAATATGGAATGGTTAAAATATCGAATCGGGTAAAAAAGGGTTAAAATATGGAATCGTTAAAATATCGAATTGATAAAATGTCGACACGGTAAAAATGGGTCAAAATGTCGAATTTTTTTAAAAATACCGCCAAAACTAGAATCCGGACGGTACCGTAATACCGACGGTATTTTTCGGTATTCCGTGTCGGTAGTACGGTAAGGAATGCAGACCGATAAAATTTAAAAGCTAAGCGGTATTTTTCGGTATTCCGTACCGTATACGGTACAGTTAGAAAATTCCGGGATTTATTAGAAGCTAGGCACCCCACTCTAATTTAACGTATCAAGATCGCGTTATGTTTTCCGGATCCGTACGATCATTCCGGACCGGATCAGGTCGATTATGCATGATTTATCCGGTCCGGTTTTACTCGGTAAAATACAGTGAACTCAGGCCGAAAAGATTGCGACGGACTACGACATACGAAACTTATCAATCAAATTATCAACAATAGGTTGATAAGCTGATAAAATTATCAAAAATCAACGTACGGCACTCATCTGACCCTTTTTTAGAAGAATTCGACATTTCGACCTCTTTTTAGTCTATTCGAGATTTTAACATTCCATATTTTAAAGATTCCATATTTTAACCCTTTTTTACCCGATTCGATATTTTAACCATTCCATATTTTAACGATTCGGTATTTTAACCCCTTTTTCGGTGGGAAACCTGTGGGAATATACTAAAGCACCCCTAAATCAAGTATATGATAAAAAATCATAGATAAAATGTCACAATTGACAAAATCTGATATCAGATTCGTGATCAGCATGGTCGATTACCCATATAAAATTATTTTCAGAGAAAAATAATAATTTTTAAGGTGTTTTTAAGGTGTCTCCCAGATTCTGCAGGATTACCATAATTTTCATTTTTAGATGAGGTCAAGAGCCTCAAGCCAAAATTTACAACAAAAAACGTTAAATTCAGAATCAAATACTCCATTAAAAGAACCAAAACAAGAACCATCAACAAATTTTAATGATTCTCTTTGTTCCCCTTCTGATATTTCGACAACAGTTTGTTACTGGTTATTTTTTATTTTTTTGTTAAATTTTAAATTTAATTTTTTAAAGTAATGGAGAGCGTAAACTTGGAGGTTTGGAAGTACAATGTTCTGGATGTAAAAGATGGTTTCATCAAGAATGTTTCAAAGATTTAGAAAATTTGTTTGTTTAACAGAAATTTCCTTTTTTAATTTTAATTTTAAAGTGGTGGTCTTCCATTTATGGTTTCTTATATGTTTTGTTGCAGAGGTTGTTCACCTGAAAACAAGGAGAAATGGAATATTCGTAGCACAAGTAAATTAATTTAAAAAAATAAAGTAAAGCAGGTTTGGTTAGTATACTCAACCTCTCTCCCCCTTCAATAAAACGTCTTCGACATTAAATGAACTAATAACAAGTAATATCCCATTTAACGCCTAGTTGAATTAATTTTTGTAAAAAATAAAAAATATTTTTTTAGGTTATTCTTCAATGGCTGTAATGGCATTAGCTAACATGACACTTGAATATTTTATAAAACAATATGGCCTTTCAAATATTTCTTCAATCAAAGGCCCTAATCCTTTCTTTTCAATTGATCAAGAAATTGTGCAATATATGGACAAAAATTGGGTAGAATTTTTTTAAAAAAATTTTTCTTAAATTAAAAATAAAAGGAATATTTATCAACAACGCCAAAACGTCAAAAGAAAACTTGGCACCAAACAATTTTGAAAATTTTACAAAAAGAAACTGAACTTTTTATACAAGATTCTAAGGGGTGTTCTTTTGCTTTGAAAGAAAAAGATCTTTTACGGATTGGTCCAATGCATGAATCTATTTTACAGGTTTTTCTTTCTTTTCTTATTTATAATTATTTTTTAAAGATATTTAAAAGAGGCAGAGATGCTGCAGAAAGAGAAGCAAATTCTTTACAAATTTCTGAACAACAAATTTATCAGTCATTAAATTTAGAAAATTTTAGTGAAGGGCCAAAAACAAGAGGAGCAAGTAAAAGAAAAGCAGCTACTTCAAATAATGGAGAAGGATTGGATACAAAAATTAATTTAAATATTCCTTTACAGAAAAAAGCAAAAATGTAAAAACTTTTAAACATTTATTTATTTAAAAAATAATAATTTTTAGGGCTTCTGAATTTGCAACAGTAACAATTAATGGACAATCAGGAATTGATTTTCCTTTTAATAGAGAAGGATATCGTTATTATTTGGTAGAAAAAGATCCAAATATTTTAAATAGGTTTTTAATTTGATTTGAAAATAAAAATTATTTTTTTAGAGATCGTTTTGACAGAGAAGAAGTAAATAATACTAGAGCTGTTCAAATCCCTTCACATATTCACAGAATTGTTGTATGTAGTTTGTTTTTTTAATTTAATTTAAAATTTTTAAAATATTTTTTAGATTCCACAAATAGTAACACTTCCACCCAATGATAGAGCTAATCAAGTTTGTTGGAAAATTTTTTTGAAAAAAAAATATTTTTAAGTTAATTTTGGATGCAGACAATTTAACTTTAACTGGATGTGATGGTTAGAGAATAATTTTTAAATATTTTTTTTTGTTATTTAAAGGTTATTCTTCTATTAGAGCAACACATTCTGTTGGCCATGGAAAGTGGTATTTTGAGGTAAATTAAAAAACATTTCTGTTAATTCTTTTTGTTAACAGATGGAATTTTTAAGTCAACCCGGAGATTCACATGTTCGTGTTGGATGGGCCCAAGCTTTTTGTAAATATTATTTAAATAAAAAATAATTTCTTTTTTTTTTTATTTTTTAGCTCCATTACAAGCTTGTATTGGATATTCTAAATTTAGTTATAGCTGGAGAAGTAAACGAGGAACTGTTTTTAATGATGGTAAGGGGGGGGAGATAGTTTTCGAGAACCATTCTAAATTCAGTCCTTCGATATTCAGAAGTTTAACTGAATTAACAAAATTCTCGATATTTCGAAAGGAAAATTAAGAGATGATTAAAAAATATTCTTTTAAAGGTTATGGCCGAAGGTATTATCAACGAGGATTTAAACAGGGAGACACTATCGGTAAGTGTTTATTGTTAAATAATTTATTTTTTAAAATTTAAAAAAAGGTTGTTTAATTGATTTACCTTCCTTGAATGTTGGAAAGGATAATAATAATGTTGCCACAACAATCAAAATTTCCGATATTTTGCCTCCTTCGCGGAAAGATTGTGATTTAATAAAATTTAAACAAAATTATTTTTTTGAAGAAAAAGAAGAAATACAACAAGAAATTCAAAAATTACAGCCTCTTCCAAATTCTAAAGTAAAAAAATAAATAAATATAAATAATTGTTTTAAATATAGATTGAATTTTTTTTAAATGGACAAAGTTGTGGAGTAGCTTTTCAAAATATATTTACTGGCCACTACTTTCCTGCCGTTTCTTTATTTCACTCTGCACGTGTTCGACTAAATTTTGGACCAATTTTTCGAAGAATTCCAGAATGTGTCAAAAATGGTAATGTCAAACCAATGAGTGAGAGACCTAATCAAATGCAAATAGAACAAGTTTTGTCTGATATTTTATATATGATTGTTAATGAAGAAGAATTAAATAGAAGGAATGTAGATTTTTTCAATGCAATTCTAATGAAAGAAAAGGTTTAACGTAAAACACTAATATTTTTTATAAAAATTAGGTTATCGAATTAATATTTTTCGATTAAATTTTATTTCAAAATAATTAAATGGAAATTAATGTTTTCAAAGGATTTTTAGAGTATATATCAAAAACTTAAGAAAATCCTGACACTCCAACAATCTCATCAACCGTCCTTTATGTTTCCTTTAATTTAAATTATGTAACAGTTCAGGAAAGAAAATAGGGAAACATCCCCAAGTTTTTAATTATTTCGAACACCCAATGTGCATTCTAATTCAAAGCGTTTTTGTTGCACTTTTCCATAACTAAATTATGAAAAATTAAATATAATATTAGTTTATAAAAATATACATATAACGATAGACGCCTTCTTGCGTATCGGGTTGCAAATATTTTTCCACTCGACGTTCTAATTCATTATCATTAATAGAAGCTCCGGCCAAAGTCTGGAATAAAAGAAAAAATTATAAAAAAATTTAAAAAACTAACTCTAAGATCATTGCTTTGTGAAATTAACCAATCTTGAACAAATTGTTGGGGATTTTCGGAAAATCCAGCAAAAAAATCTCTTTTATGTTTTAATTCATTTATATTATCAACAATTTCGTGAATCTTTTAAAAATTAAAAAATATTTTTTTAGTTTAATCAAAATAAACCTTTTGATCGTAAGCCATTATGTCTTGATAATTTGAGTTTGACTGAAGAAATGTTGATTGTAATTGTTTAACTGGATCATCTAATTCAACATCAATCTAAGAAATATTTAATTTAGAGCAAAACCTCAAAATTTATAAAAAGTTTGGAAATGCCGAAAATTTTAAAAGCCAGGAAATGGAATGTTTTCAATGTCGGAATTGCGAGGAAAACTCTTATACTTCGAATGGGCTAATAAACTGTAATAGAGCTACGTCTACTTAAAAAATGCTGCAAGTTAGAGAAACAAATGTATCTCCAAAATACTTAGAGATTCTATTTTTTTAATTTCACTTCAAAAAATTTTCAGATTGAAAAAAATAAACTTACATCATAACAAGCAGTATTTTTGTTATCACTGACAGAAGACCCATCCCATTTTATAACGTGATGAATTACTAATGGATCTGGTTGTTGTAATAATTGCTGCAATCTTTGCGGGACTTCCATGAAACGCATTTTTGTGCAGTTAAAAACTTGTTCAAGATAATGATCACAATTAATTACATCATGATCTGTAGCATCCTGAAAATTAAAAAAAAAATAATAATTTATTTAAAAATTAAAAACTTGAAGTTTATGTGTTTTAATATATTGCCAAAGAGCCTCAATTATACGCATACGTGATTCTACAGAAATTCCCAATAGTTTAGCCAATCGTGGATGTAATTTAAATTTCATAGGCTGGTGATCAAGAAGTAAAAGAATTGTACACTTTACATCCATATTTCCTGGACGTTTAACCTTTAAATAAATCAATTCATTTAAAACAGATGAAATCCAATCACTTGAAATCCATCTGTCTCCCCAGTTTGTGGTGTCCGATGCCATTCAACAAGATGATTGTCTGGCCCATATATATTTTTATCCAATTCAATAACCAAACTTTTGAAAAAAGAACTAAATTTGCGTTTATGTTGGATAATAAGCGATGAATTTGTGCAAGCTGTTGTTCCTCTTTGAACGGCTGTAAGTGGAGGAGGAACAGCTGTGGAAGAAGAGGCCGAAGACGAAAAGGAACCTCCACTTCGACCTAAAGCTGGAATTGATGAAACAGAAGTATTGAAAGAGGCAGTAGAATTTTGTGGGATTGAAGGAGTTTCATCTAGAAGGCGACCTTCAACACGTAATTCCCACATCGGAATAATGCCTTCATCACCTTCATGCTTTAAAATAAAAATCTTGTAAAACAAAAATAGATCTCTTAATATATTTATGAACAAACCTCGGGTTCTTTTCCATGGATAAATGAATGTGAAACATAAATACGAAGTTTGCGCTTTATCTTCAATGGACGCTTAAGTGCTTCTTGAATTTCTAAACGTTTTCTTGCTATAAGGGCGTCCAACTTTTGCTCATAAGTTAACAAACATGAGTAAGCGTCTGCCTCAGGAACTAACTGACGAATCTTAGAATAAAAGAATTAAAAATCTGAAAAGATAGACAAACATACTTCTGGCATAATTACTCTGTCAACCAGACGGCGCCTTTTCCGCGTGCCTGAAAGAAAATTTGAGATTTGTTGACGGCCAGATTGCTGTGTTAATTGTGCTTGTTGAAAAATTGGGCGGCGAGGAAAATTTGTTTGTGGTTGTTGACTACCATTAACATATCGTGTTTGTTGTGGCGTAGAAGGATTTTGTTGTTGAGTAGCAGAAGGTCGATGCATTTTATAAAGTTTAGAAGGAAGTTTTTGAATAAAAAAAACAATTTATGTACTACTGAATTTTTGCATTGTTATTGTCGCAAATAAAACATTAGACGAAATGTAATATTTCTCGGTGGTTGACACTTTTAAGTTAGATATTTTGTAATAATTGCATCTATGAAAAATCAAATTGTCAAATGTCCTAATTGTTCGGGATTCGACTTTTCCGGTAAGGTTAAAATTGAAGTTTATTTTTTTGTTTATCAAGAGTTGTAAACTCGCATTTACTTCTATTTAGTAGAATATCACAAATAATATATTTTAAATTTAGATAAATATTTAAACAATTATAATGAGTGAGATGAAGGTGGATTCAGGAGATATTGGAAATACAATTAAAGTTAATAAAAATTGAAATAATTATTGAAATATTTTATTTTAGAAACTTCAATCATCAACGGCTTCTCTTGTCAAAGCAAGTAATCAAATGCCATTAATTGGTGATGGTTTTGAATTATATGCTACATTTCCTCAGTTTAACCAATTTATGCATACTCAAAGAAATAGAATAATTAATGTGTATGTTTCTTTATTTAAATTTGTAGAAATTTATTTTCTTTTAGTTTACGTAAAATTTCAAGTGAAGCTGGACTTAAATCATTAAAAATAAATGACTCTTCTTTGGAGGATATTACACAAATTATTTCCGTCAATGACAGACTTGTAGATAATATTGTTTGTTTTTTTAAATTTTTTTGAAAACAAAAATATTTTTTCTAGGTTCGTAATTTTGATGAACATGAGGCAAAATTAAACGAGGATAGGGTCAACGTTCGAAGAATTGATTTAGGTGCAGAATGCATTTCCGGCGCTACAGCAACATCCTCTGAAGGAAATACTCATATTTCATCTAAAATTATTAGACGAACTTACAATCAATTTGAAAAGCAAATTAATGTTAAAGTGGTAATTTGTTCTTTTCCGTTATCCTCACCAGTTTTTGAATGTACTTAAAATTTTACGTGTCTTTTGGAAATTTTTTTAAAGTAATTCCTTCTGCTTTTTTTATTTTTATAAAAACCATTATTTTTTTAATTTTTTAGCCTGAACAGTCAAAGGACTATAAAGAACTTTTAAATGGTCGGCAACTAAATAATCGACAAATATTTGCTTTGGAGCAACTTTGGAGATGGCGTGAAGTGACCGCTAAAGAGCATGATAAATCTTTTTATTATGTTTTGCCTGATCATATGATGTTAAAAATTGCTGAGGTTTTTTGAAATTTTTTTAAAAAATAAATATTTTTATTTAAAAGGTATTGCCTCGGGAACAAAGTGGGATTTTGGCTTGTTGTGCTCCAGTTCCGCGTTTGGTTCGACATGAATTGGAATCACTTGCAAGGTTATCTTTTAAAAACAAAAGTTAATATTTCTAAGAATTTTGTTATTTAGAATATTAAAAATAGCGAGAGAACTTCCACTAGAACAAACAACAATTAAAAACAATTTAAATAATTTATCTAAACAAACCGGAATTGATGAATTTAGTAAATTAAATAATTGTGTAAATGGATTAAAAGCAAAACTTGAATATCGTTTTGATATAAGTAAATATTTATATAATGAAGAAGAAAAAAATAAAAGAAATTTGGAATTCGATAAAAATAAATTAAAAGAAAATGATGAAGGAGGGGAAAAAGAAATTAAAAATAATGAAGGGAAAGAATTACGTCGAGTAATACTTTCTGGGAATATGGAAGAGCTGGAAATTAAAAAGTTTTTTTTCATTTTTTAAAATTATTTTTTTTTTAAATTTAAAGTTCAAATTCTTGTAAGGAAAAGGCATTAAATATCCAAGAATATTTGGAACAACAATGGGCTAGTCCTTATGAGACTTATTTGGTTGCTATGAGGGTAATTTTAATTTTTGAAAAATAAATTATTGTTTTTTAATTTAGGATTCTGAAAATAAAAAAATTGAAAATGAAAATAAATTTATTCAAAAACAAACAACAATTAATAAAAATAAAAGAGAATATTCACATTTAGATGAAAATAAAGAAGAAGAGGAGGATATACAAATTATTGAAGAAAAGAAAATAAAAATTGAAAATAAAATTGTTGGTTTGGATGAAGATGAAGAAATTAAAGAAGAACGTGAATTCTTTGCTGATCCAGCAAATTTGACTAAAAAAGCCAAAAAGAAATTATTTCAAAAGGTTTGAATATATTTTTTGAAATTAATTTTTAATTAATTTAGTTACGGAAATCTGCTGACATTCAATTGAGTTAAGAAATTGAGAGTATATAAATGTTATTTATAATTTTTTGGATAATTTCCTTATTTAAATTAGATACTCTTTAAAATTGTTAAAATTAAAATATTTTAAAAAATTAAAAGAATAAAAAAATATTTAAAAATTTTGTTAAATATTCTTTTATAAACAAATCTTTGTTTGGTAATTTTCAAGCTGTATTATTTATAAATACATATCTATTAAGGGGGGGGGGTTTAATTAATTGAATAATTCTTCAGTCTTTTTTATATTTGTCTATAATGTCATTCAAAAAATATAATAATTGGGTTGGCCAAAATATACACAGAAGTACTAAAATATGCATTAAGAATATCCGAATTAACATAAAAAGTTGTTAAGCTTCTTTCTTCAAAGCGTATCCGCATATAAGAACATGCACATTTAAGTAGTTGTTAATTGAAATGAAAATATACTATTTTGAACAACTCAACACAATTTCTCTTTCCTTCCTTTTTTCAATTTGGAGGATAAATAAAAAGCTGGAAATTATTATTGCACTTCATTTCTTTCCAAACAACCTCTGAAAGAGAAAATCGATTGTTGCGCTGCAACTAAATGCTTGACTGACTGACGTATTTTTATTTTATATATTTTTAAGGATGTTCTTTTTTAATTTTTAGACAATTTTTATTAAAAAATAATGAATAATTATTTAAAAATATTCCTGTCAATTCTTTATTTAATTATTTTATTTAATAAAATAAAATCATCGAAAGATAGTAGTAACGAAGATTTAGAGACTTCCAATTCCTTCGACGGACCTATTCAAATAGTGGAAAAGGAAGAAAGAATTTCACCTCAATTATCTCATCAAGAGGACAATAATTTAAATGAAATTGAAAATAAAGGTAAGAAAAAGAACTTTTAATTGGAAAATTTTAATTTTTTAGATGAAATGAAGCAAAATTTCTCAATTAAAGACACTAGATTAAATAAATCAAAGGAACACAATTCTTCCAAAATAAATAAATTTTCTTTGATATTATTTATTTTTCCAATTTATATTTTATTTAAAATTTAATTTCCAAAAAATTAAAAGAAATTATTTTTATTATTTAAAAAAACGTTGATTGATGTAACAAACAAAATCTGTGAGCAGTTACAACTTTTTTTTTAAAATATGTCAAAGAATTGTCATTCCTCTTGTTTAAATAAGCACAGAAGAGATCATCAAGCCAAATACTAAAAAAGAAAAAAGAATTTCAAAACAAAATTCCTTAAAAAATAACCTCGTATGAGTCACGCTCATTTTCACCACGTTTTAAATATTCCTTTTCAATTAACATATCAATACATTTCTTAACTAAAGGCACCTAAAAATATTTTTATTTTTTTAAATTTAAAAGCTTTCAAAATTACCTTTGGCTGAAATCGAGCAGTTAATTGGTTAAGTACTTCTCCAACTAATTGTTGATGTTTTAAAGTCTTTCGCATCTTCATTATACGTACAATTGCAGCTTGAATAACAATTTTTCTATCCTCATCAACACATTTCTGTACTTCTTCATTGTCCTTCTTCTGTTCTTTTGATGAAACCATTGCTCGAATTAAATCAACTTTAAGTTTTTTACTAAATTAAAAAAAAAGAATTAAAATTATTATTTTCTTTTTAATTTCCAAAAAAAACTTTGTAAATCCATTATTTAATTGTAATTCTTTATCATCATTTTTATTATCCACTTCATCAGTACTCGATTTTTTCGAAGATTTATCATTCCCACTAACACTTAAAAGTAATCCAACTTTAAGTAAAGAATGTAAAGCTGGAATTAATTGGTCTTTTGGTAATTTTAAAATAGTTTCCAAATCAGATTGTTTATAAACATTTCTTTCATTAAAAAGCATTAATAAAGAAATTTGTTGAGTATTACACTAGAAAAATAATTTAAAAATAAAACTTTAAAAATTACAATAAATGTATATTTATTTGCAAAAGTTCCACTTGTCGAAATTACTTCACCACGAGACATTTGCAAAACCCAATTTAATTTTCGACCTGTGTATTTTCCAGAATAATATCTCGTAAAATCTAAAATAAAACTTTTTTTTAAATTAAAATAATTATTTAAACCTTCAATACAATTCATTAACGGAGAGGGAATCTCAAATAAAATTGGTTGAGTAAGAGGCCAAACATTAGACATAACGACAATAACCGAAAAATCAACCTCCCGTCTTGTAGCTTGCTAAATAAGTTAAAATTAATTTAAATTCAATTTCATGAAGAACCTTTCTAAAAATGTCAGAATTGTCTCTACTCAATGCAACATCAGTCAAAAGTCGCTCCAATTTACTTGTATATTCAAATCCACACATATGTTTAAGTTTAGCAATCATTGAACTTTAAAATTATTTAAATTTTAATTAAAAAATAATTTGAAAACCGCTCAGCTTCCTCACTAGCACTTGCTTCTGTAACAAGACGTTTACAAAGCATTTTATGGAAAAATGCCTGAAACATATCTTTATCTTCAATATATTTAAAAACAGTCATCTGAAAAAATAAAGATATTCATTCTTGTCAAAAGTATTTCAAAACTAACCACTTGCTCCAAATATTCATCCATTCTTTCATCTTCAACATTCTTTGCATTTTTACGCAACAATTGATCGCAATATAAAACCAAAAGTTGTGGAGATTTCGAAGCACTTTTTGCCAAACGAGTAATTTCATTTTCATTAACAAAACGAGTAAATGCTCTATCCATTGCCTCAACAAATCCATGGTCTAATTTAAATGCTTTATTAGCCAAATTATTATAAACATCATAAAGTTGAAGAATTGTTGTTATATAATATTTTGGGTCCTAAAACAAAAATTTTTAAATTTTTTATCAAAATATTTCTCATACACTCATTGCATTTTGAGCAATTTGTTCAATAGCAGCACGCCCCTCTCTCGTAATGTATATCTCAAGTATCTGCTTCAACTTATCTAAAGCACCAGTGACACGGTGGCAAAGATCATACATTCGTCCCAAATGCTCACATTGTCGTTGACTGAGAAGTGCTTCAAATTCATTATGAAATCTAAATAAATAATTCCTTTTTAAAGAATTTTAAGATAAATAAATACAATTCCAAATGATTGCAAATAAGAGCGTCGTCACAAACTTTGAGTAGAGAATCTAAAGTTGTGTAGTCCAAATAAAGTTGACAACGATCACGTTCTTCGTTAAGACGTTCACCAACCTATAAAACTGGTAATAATGTTTGATTTACGAGAAAAACCTTTTTCATATATTCTGGAACACTATAACTTTGAAGAAAAGTTGTAGATTCTGTTGTATAATAGTTAAGAGTTTCCTCCAAGAGTCGTTTGACAAAATGTTCCCGATATACTTGGTACTTCACACCAGGTCTAGTCATGTTAGGTTGAAGGCCAGCAGATTGAGAGTTGGCGCCGTCATCATTACCTGATCCAACGGTTTCTCTCTCATTAATCCCCAATTCAACTTAAATTCATTATTGAAAATTAATTTTAAAAATATAATTCACTCACTATATGACTCGACAACTCCTTTAATAAGTTTAGTTTGAATCATTTCCCCATTTCGATCTTGTTCAATCAGCGCTAGAGCTGCAGAAGTAACATTATGATGAAGATCAGTAAATATAACTTGCTTCCAAATATTAATTGCCATCTTGAATATTTACAAATTAAATGAAGATAAAATAAAATTTCACATTATAAACTTCAAAAATTCCCAATTTGCCTTCATCAATTTCACGACGAATCCAATGTCGGTTAAGATAAGAGAAGATTCCATTCACTACAGTCGAACCGAATCGATAGTTTGTCCATATTTTTGTATAATGTTGAAGCAAAGAATCACCATAAAGATTGATAAGAGTCTAAGAAAAAACAAGATTTTAAGAGTAATTCTAAATAAAAACCATGCGGAGTGATTGTGCATATTTTGTAATAAAAATGTTAAGTTCATTGTAAAGCTCCGAGCCAACAAAACTAGTTTGCATCTGAGTGATTGAAGTGCCGCGCCTTGAAGTCTCGGTTGGAACATGTGAAGAACTGCAAAAATTGAACACATGCCTGAAAATAAAATTTGACTGTAGTATAGTAGACCGGTGGAAAGGTTTCGATACAAGGCATGCCATTCGATTTGTCTCGGCGAGCTGAGTCGAATGGTACCACTCCCTGGATGCGGAAACGTCTGTGGACCGAGATACAGGCCCCGAAAATCGAAAAACCATAGGGGGGAGTAAGCACAATTTTGGGATATTTGAATATGCAAATACCTCATTCGAAAGAGCCTTGAATCGAAATGGTATATGCCTTGTATCAAAAACTTTCTAACGGTATATATCTTTGAAATTGAAAAAATAACGTACGTATATAATTCCATATAACGATGTGGCGGCATTCTTTCATCACCAGCGTAAATGCTTTCAAGGCCAGATGCCAAATCATTCCAAAGCTCATTCTGAAGTTTTTTGTCCTTAACTGACGACATTTTTCTCTTAATAGAAGAAGAAAAAGTAACGAAATGAAAAATCTTTAAAAATAATCAATCACTGAAAAGTATTATTTATGACATAAAATAAAAGAAATCAGCCGAACGGATAAAAATTGTGATTAAAAATTTAATCTTTTGAATATTTATATTTTTAAAATTTATAAAACGAAAGATTTTGAAAATATCAATAAGGTAACAAGAAGAAAAAAGACGAAAGGTTAATGAATTATCAAAATTACGGTAGTCTACAACGGCTCCTTTGAATCGGCTCTTCGAAGAAAAGCCGATTCAGAGGAACTTTTCTGTAACGTTCCCTGCCCTCAAAATTAAAAGTGTCCAGTAAATTTTTTCTGATCCGGGAATTTGAAATTTTTAAATAAGTATAATGCTTCTGGGTTGCAACTATTTTGCTACGGATAATTAAAAGTCTATAATCAAAATCCTATTAAAATATAGATTGTTTTTATCAGTTGCATATAATTCAAAATTTAAAATATATCTTACTAAAATGAGTGATGCGGCCTTACTAAGCAAATTTACAAAGCTCTCAATTGGTGGAATGGGTAAGTTAATTAAATATTTTATTTAAAAATTATATTTAAGTTCCAATTGAACGGAGTGGACAGCGAATTTATTCAGATCATGATTTTATTTATCTTATTGGGGGATATAATCCCAATCCACCACGCACTCTGTTACCTTCTTTTTTAATTTAAAAAATATTTGAAAATTTAGTTCTGATGCATGGCGATTTAATCGACTTACTCACAAATGGCAAAAATGTGAATTAGCTGATCCTGCTAATCCGTTGCCTGATACTTTAGCTTCTTTTTCATGTAATTTTTTAAATAATAGATTTTTTATTTTAAAAGTTTTTAGTAGTATCACGCGGCCAGTCTTCAAATTTTGGTTGTTCTTCTAATGAGGCATACATTTTTGGTGGTACAAAAGTGCCCTTCGGTGGAAATTCAAACACCAATCGACTTTATTGGATTAAAATTGACCGCGATGGTAAAATCCATTTAAAGGTATTTTTTATTTTAGCGAGATTAATTTTTTGTTTATTTTGAGCTTCAATCTGTTAGTGGGCTGTTGTCACTCCCAAAGATTTATGGACAAGGAATGTGTCGGTGCATTGAAAAACGTGCGAAAGGGCAAACTTTTGAAGTACTTTATATTATTGGTGGAACTGATGGACACGAGTTTGTTTTTTTTTCTCTCTTAATTTTTAATAAATTATTTTAAGATACACAATGGATGTTTATCGCCTTCAACGTGATATTTCTGCATCCAATGATGAAAGCTGGGAATTAGCGATACTTAATGTAAATTTCATTGAAAATAACTTAATTTTTCTAGCAATTATTAGGAGCGAAATATTGATGAAGATGGTCGTTACCGATTAGAAGTTGTTCCCTTTCAAAATTTTTTGGTAACTTTTGGTGGTTCAATTTCAAATCAATTTATTTTCAAACTTGATGTTCTTACTGTTTTTGATCTTGAAATGAGACGATTTGAGAAAATCCAAACAAAACCTGACCCTGTTTATGGATTTCCTGAAGAAAGAAGTTGTCATTCTATTGTACACCGAGAAGATTTTGTTTATTTAATTGGAGGATATGGAACAGAAATGGTGATAAATCTTTTATAAACGATTATTTTCGTGTCGTGTGATTTCGACACAAGTGAATTGGGCAGTGAGTTTAATGACAGTGAGTGATTTGGGCAGTAAATTTTGGAAAGTTGAAATTAAAAATTTCCAAAAGTAGCTGGGTGATTTATTTCCCAAATCACTACTGCCGATATAGCTCCTGCCCAAATCATTCACTGATTAAATCACTAGACAAAATTATTTTTTAGAATGCTTTCTCTGCGGTTTGGCGTTTTAATCTTCAAAATTTTGAATGGAGAAAAATCGAAGAACATAACCGGTTGCCTGTGCCAGTTTATTTTCACGCTTCAACGCTAACACCGGTTAGTATTATTTTTATTAAATTTTTGTTTATTTTTAAAGGATGGGTGTATTTTTGTATTTGGTGGCGTTGAAAGGCAAAATACACAAGAACGTCGCGAAAGAAGAGTAAATGATTTACAAAGAATGTGGCTTCAACCACCTTCTCTTAGTTATTTCGCATCAATAAGTCTTTTACGTGATGTGCCAGATCGTCAACTTTTACGTTTAACAAATGATTGTGTTAGATGTAGTGACATGTCAGTTTTTTTTCTTTTTGATAATTTTTGATTTAATTTACTTAAATATTTAAAAAAATATCTTAAAATAAAATTATTTTAAAAATATTTTGAACAGTTTTAAGATCCCCGTTATTGGGCGTCATTGGCGCGATGGTTTAACAGAAGGATTAATTGGTGATGATTTTCCAATACAACCACCTGAATGTATTTTGTTATAGATTTGTTTTTTAAACGAAAATTGTTTGCTCAAGATCTCATTTTGAGAAGAATGTTTTTTATTTCTTGTAAAATTTTTTTGGTAAAATGTGAACTTTTTTATGACTCAACCTTATATTTATTAAAATAATTTTTTGAATATTATTTATTTTTTAAGGATTTTTTTATTAAATTTATATAAAATTAAAATAATTTTATAATGCATTTTGTTAAAAAGAATCATGTAAGTGAAGTTGAAAAAAGTGCTTACGAGAAGAAGAGAGCGGCAAAATTGGAACGTTTTGTTCAAATGAAGAGCAGAATCTTTGAAAAAAGAGAAATTGGTTTTTTAATTAATTTTAATTATTAAAAAATATTTTTACTTTAAGGTGAATATGATGAAGAAATTATGGAATTAACGGCAGAACTTTTAGGGAAGCATGCAGATATTTATACATTTTGGAATATTAGAAGAGAAGCTATTGAACAGATTTCTGTGGTTTTTATTTTTTGGTTTATTAAAAAATTTTTTTTAGAAATTAGAAGGAGAATTGGAAGAAGAGAATATTGAACGTAAATCAAAATTACTAGATAAAGAATTGAAGTTGACACAGGAATGTTTAATGAAAAATCCAAAATCTTATTCTAGTTGGCATCATCGTTTTTTAGTTGTAAGTCAGCATCCTAAAATTAATTATAAAGAAGAATTGGCACTTTGTGATAATGCTTTGGCATTAGATTGTCGAAACTTTCATTGTTGGGGTAAATTGTTTAAATTGTAAATTTCATTTGACAATGAGTTTTCAAGATCATAGACGTTCTGTTGCCAAATTGGCTAAACTAAATGATACGGATGAATTAAGGTTAGTCATTAAAGTTTTTTCAACTTTCCAGGCTTTGGTTAAGAATTTCTTCGAAAATTTTGGTTTATTTAAATTTAATTTCTTTTTAGTTTCTCTGATCGATTAATTGGCAAAAATCCAAGTAACTATTCAGCATGGCATTATAGAGGTACTTTGTTGCCCAAACTTGAAGAAAATCGACGGGAAAATTCTGAGAACCGTTTAATGACTGATGAATGTTTGAAAGGAGAATTCGAGGTTTAATTTTATCCTAAAATTAAATTTTTCTCTAATGTAAGAAAGTTCTCCACGTTTGTGGTGTTAATTCCGAGGATCAAACTGCCTGGACATATTGTCGTTGGCTTGTTGAATTGGCAACAAATGGATGTAAACATCTTTTTCTTAAAATTAATAATCCTCTTTTTAGTGCCAGTTTCACCACAAGTTGTTGCAGCAAGATTCTTAGATTCAACAACGGTTCTAGTTGTATTTTCTGAAGCAGTTAACAAACAAATGGTTAAAAATACTTTTTTGTTTGATGATTCTAAATTGATAAAATTTGAATCGGTTAATTTTTTTTGTTATTTTAAAAAAATGTTTATTTTTAGATTTCTCCATTTAAAACTTCTAATTATGTATCAGAATTTAAATATTCTCGTGTTTGGTTATTATCAAATATTTCTAATCCATTATTAATTTCTACATTAAATGAAGAAGGAAAGAATGACAGCGAAATAAAGCAAATTAATGTTGATAAAATTTTTATAAATAAATTTTATTTTCAAGAGGTTTGTTAATATTTTTTAAATAAATTTGGATAATTTTTTAAAGAAGTTTTCTTCATCGGCCGTCAAAATAAGAGAATTGCCTAAAAAATGTTTGAATGATTTAGTTAAATTATGTAATGATTTAATACCTGTTGAAGATAATCCTGTAAGTTTTGTTAGATTATATTCAGTCAAATTCCCACTTGTTACACCCAATGTCAGATGGCCAACTCTAGAGTTTAAATTATCCCAAAAAATCCACAAAAGGTCATGTTACTGCAAAGGTTCAAAATATTACTCCAAAATTAAAACGTTTACATTTCGATTTAGTTGAAAACAAGATGAACATCCCCAAGGGTGGGTCTCACTATATATTTAAAATTTTAGTGGGCACTTGCTGCACTTACTCGAGCGATGTTTCTTCTGGAAGGAAATAATAAACAAACATTTGAATTAGCTAAAGATAATTGTGAAAAATTAAAGGTAATAACAAATTCAAAAAAATTTTTTTAATTTTTTAGAAAATTGATTCTCAACGATCTAAAATGTATGAAGAATTAATGGATAAATATCGTTTAATTAAATCATTAAATGAAGAATTCTCTTCTGGCGGAACTCGGCTGAGCAAATTAATTGAAGGAAATGAACAACTAAATTTGAAAGAGATCGGATTAATAAGGTTTAGTTTTCTGAAAATATATTTGTTATTTTTCAATTTTCACAGTTTCGACAATATTTCTCTTCTCTCAGCTTTTATATCTGACTTAAATTTGATTGACAATTTCAAATTAAACACATTTGCGTTCACTTAAAATTTTAAATTTGGAATTATATTTTAAAACATATTTTTCAATTCTTAAAAAATTATCTAGTTATTTATTGATATTAATATATCACCCCTACATATATCACCCCTTTTAGTCAATCAAAATGAAGTAAGAGCTCAACAGAAAATTCCCAAAATCGATAATTTATTACATATGTAGGCAGGATCCCCTAGTGATATACATATCAATAAAGAACACTAATTATCCTAGTTTATCTTACACGGATTTTCCTTTATTGTTTTCCTGAAAAAGTGAGATAAACATATAAAGGCTTTTAAATATAAAATTCAAAAACAATTAAACAAAAACTAAAAAGTCCATTTTAACAACGAATTTTCACTTCGTTTTGAACGTGAAACATCTCTTCTAATTTGTTTTGCAAAATCACTGACATATTCACGCACAGAAGGATCTACAGCTTCTTCTTTTGCCAAATTGACTGCTCTTTCCGCGTAATCGATAGCCAATTCTTTTTCACCGGTATGGAATAAAGCTTCAGAATAGCAGCAATAGTAGGAGAGTAAAATATTTCTGTAAAATAATCTTTGATAATTAATTGGTAAAAATTTGCTGATATTCTAAAAATAAGAATCCCAAAAAAAAATTTAAATTCTAAATAATAAATAACGACTTTTTGCTTGTGTTTACCAATGAAATTTAAAAAAATATATTTTTAAATTTTACTCATTTTCTGGCTGTACCAATACTCTTCCAATTCCCATTTCTAAATAATCTCGAGCAATTTTGAATCTAAAAAAGTTAGATTATTTTAAATTAAATAGGCACTTGAGTAGATTGAGGGGACTACAAATCACGAATCTGAACTCAGATTTTGAAAAAATCGAATCCCGGACCCGAACCAAATTTCGAACCCTGAATCCGAATTTCGATTTACAAACGATAGCTCATTCGAAAGAGCTCGTCGAGCTGCATCGAATGACACCAAAATCAACGTGATTGGACATGTTTTGACAAAGTTATGACATAAAGTATACCTATGGAAGTACTGTAGGAGTCGGCGACTTATGTCATAACTTTGTCAAATCTTGTCAAATCACGTTGATTTTGGTATCATTCGACTCAGCACGACGAGCTCTATCGAATGAGGTATAATTTGCATAAACTTTTTTTACTCCAAAAAATCACCCCTGGGTTTTTCAATATTCCGGGGTCTGTATCTCGGTCCAATCACGTCGAATTTCATCGAATTTGGTGTCATTCGATGCAACTCGATTAGTTCTACCTGCATATGAAAGACTGACCATTTTGTACAATGTCCGACAATGTCCGGGGTCAAATTCCGAATTCGGGTCCGGGATTCGACTTTTTCAAAATCTGAGTTCAGATTCGTGATCAGCATATTTTTTTACCCTAGAAAACCCCTTTTCCTTATTTTTAAACTTTTTTTTCGCAGGGACCACAATTCTCCTGGATTGCCCAAAAAAATATAACAGAAAACAATATAGATAACTAAGCATTCTATATCAGAAAAACCCCCTCAGTCTACACAAAATTCCAATAAATTACTGATTTTTAAGTATACATCTCCCAGAAAATGTAACAATTATATTTAATGCATGAGAGGAATTAACACCATATATTTTATATGAAATCTACAAAATTCTCAAATATTTTCTTATTTTTTTAAATTAAAAACCTTTAATGCTTCATTTATATATTCTTTTGCTTCATCCAACCTTTCCGGGTAAAAATCAACCTAAAAATTAATTAAAATATTTTTAAAAATTTTAACCAAAAAGAGTCCATATTCGTGAAAACACATTCCAAGAAGAGCAAACTAAAAAATTGAAAAATTTTTTTATAAAAACAAAACCGGTTCAGTAAAATCAAGCCCAATTTCATCCATTGGATTCTTTTAAATAAATTAATTTAAAAAAATTTTAATTAAAAAAACTTTTAATTCAATATGTGCCCCATGTGCTATATAAAATTTTCCCAAAGCTTTATCTGATTCTTCTATTTGCTTTTTTAAACAATGTTTATATCCAATATCTGCAGAAACAGCGTCTCCTTTCTTTGCAAAAATTTCTGCTAATTTTAAAGAAATTCCAATAAATTCTGGGGAAGATTCTGTTTTTTGATGAATTGTTATTAATCTATTTTTTAAAAAAATATTTTGTTGTTAAAAAAAGAAAAGAAAAAACCTGTGAATAACTAATCTAAATAAATTTTCAGCTTTTTCAAAATCAGTAGATTCGTAAAAAGTATTTGCTAATTCATCATATATTCTTGTTATATATTTTTGATTTCCCAATTCTTGTGCTTCTTTTAATGCTTTATTTAATTCCTTTTAAATAAAAAATTTTTTAATTTTTTGATGAAAAATTGTAAAGGAAAAAAGATTTAAATGGAGTTAAAACACCTTAAACAGGGGGTTTTATAAAAAGAATTAAAGTCCCCAAGCAAAATAAACTGTCAAAAAATAAACGTTTAATTCCATCCGGCCAGGGCCGTAACCAGGGAAAAATTGGCCCCAAAAATTCGGTCCCTCCAAAAAAAAAATCCTGGTTACGGCCCTGCATCCGGTGACTAAACTTTTGGCTTGACAACGTATTTACAGCTATAACTCTATCTTTTAAAAAAATTCCTTTTTCCCTTCAAATTAAAAAAATAATTTATATTAACCTCAACAGCATTATCATAACGTTTATATTTTCTATGTAACATTGCCCACTTTACTTTATCCTTTAATGGATCATCGTCTAATTTTTTCCAATCTTCCCATCCAAAAATACCAAAAAAAGTAAATGCCCACATTCCTCTCCAAATTTTAAATTTTTTATAATTTTGTTTTTGATCAAAATATTTTTTATTTTCCAAATATTTTGAAGAAAAAAATAAATTATTTTCAATTTGTGGAGCAATTTTAACAACAAAATTATTTAAAAATTTTCTAAAAAAATTATTTAAGAATAAAAATATCAAATTGTTTACCTTGTAATAATTAATTGAAACCGATAATTATTTAAATAAATATTAAATGGAAGACCAAAACGATTTATTATTAACATATCTAGTATATAAATAATTAAAAATAAAATTTAAAAATAAATATTGAAGAAAAAAAATTCTTTAAATTTTTTAAAAAATCAATTAAAATCAAAAATAAATTTATTTATTTAAAAATTAAACAAAATTTTTTTATTTTTAACTAAAAATTTCTTTTGGAGCAAAGCTAGCCCCACAAGAACATCCATTTGTAGCCTTTGGATTATCCTAAAAATTAAACAAAAAAAATTAAAAAAACATTAAAAACAAACAATTATTCGAAAAGCTGCTCTCATTAAATCTTCTGAATAATCTAATTTTGATCCACGAATAAATTCAAGAGAAATCTATTTTCATTAACATATTTAAATTAAATTTAAAATTACCTACTTTATCTATAACAACACTAGCCCCATTAGAAAATTTAATAATTTCATCTTCTTTTTCATTTATTTCTTTATCCAGAATCATTTTATATTCAAAACCAGAACACCCACCAGAATCTACACTTATTCTTAAATTTTCTCCAGGCGATGAAACTTTTCCTAACTTTAAATTTAATTTAATAAAAAATTAAAAAAAATATTTACTTGATTTATTGCTTTTTCTGTAACAATTAAAAAATTATCTTTTGAAGAAGATGAAGATGAAGGAAAATAAAAATTTAATAAATTTACTCGATTTCTAATTAATGGCCGTAACATTAAAGCTTGGCGAGAAATCATTATTTTTTAGGGATAAACCAGCTGCAGGGTGAGTAGCTGGGTGGGTGTAAAGATACTGTGGGTTTGGTTACGCTGGGGGGAGCGTTTGGTTACATTACTGTTAAGTTTTGGTTGTTTGGGGGCGCGTCCAGGGACGCGCGTGGAAAGCCTGCGGCTTTAAAAGGACGCTAGATTTTATTTTTTGCTTGGCGATGTACGTTAGAATATTTATATTCGTTTAGAGCGTCTTCTGCTTGTTCGAAAAATATATACTTTGTTCGGGTTCCAGTTGAGTCTGAGTCGACAGGGGTCAAAAGTTGTAAAAATTGGTCTCGGACTGAAGAGGTTTTGAGACTCTAATTGCCCAGGAAAATTTTTTTTAATTTTTTCGACCCCGGATTCGTACTCAGCGTGTGCTGTTCCACTATATAACACATTTTTTAGTCAATATTCTCAAATTTTGTACCCCCGATTATTTTCAAAGGGGTACCCCTTATGAAAAATATTTTGAAATTTTTAAATTGTCATAACTTTAGATTGGATTGGGATTTCTGGGTTGGGTTTCTTTTATAAAATAATACTAAAAATTAGTAATTATTACAAAGTAGAAAAATCCATGTAACCCCATAGCTGGGGATGTAGGGGTCGATTTTCAAAAATTTCAAAAATTTCCGGTTTTTCGAAAATTTTTCCGGATTTTCGATTGCGGTTGAAGATGGAAGTATTTTTATCGGATAGAGTAGATTTTTGTACATAAAATAGAACTTTAAAATGAGTCAATAGAGTGTGTTTAAAAAAAGATATGAATTTTTAAACATTTTGGAAAATTATTAGGCTAAAATTTTGAGCCAAAAATCTATTTTTCCAAAAACATCGTTAAGTGAGGCAAATGATATATCATTCGAAAGCCCTTATAGAGCTGAGTCGAAAAATATTTTTTGTAAAAATTTATGGTTAATTTTGACTAAGTTATAGGGGTTGAACTTGTAAGGGTGACCACTTTGACTCCATAAAAGTGTTGTGACCTTTATGGTTAGCCTCAACTGCATGGCTCACAACAGCCTTTATAGCAGGAGTTACCGGTGTACGGCCACGTGGAGGCCTGTCAGGTGTGGAAGACCTTGTACACCATTTTTTCTTTATTTGGTATAAGAAATTTTTTTATTTTTTTTATTTTTTTCGGATAAGAAATTTTTTTGGATTTTTTATTTTGTTTTGACATTTTTAGGATTTTTAATTTTTGAATTTTTTTTGGGTTTTGTATTTTTATTTTTGGAATTCTGTCTCTTAAGAAAATTTTTTTATTTTTTTGATTTTATTTGGTATAAGAAATTTTTTTGTAATTTTTTTTAGGAATTTTTACATTTTTAGGATTTTTATTTTTTAATTTTTTTTGTATTTTTATTTTTTTTAACTATGTACAAGTATTCCTACCGCCATCGGCGACCGAGAGGCTGAAGATCAAGTAAACATACGCCAAAGGCGTCTTAGAGGCTAAGATCAAGTAACATTTTCGCCATTTGGCGACTTTCAAGCAAACGTTGGCGAAGGCTCTGGGTATTTATGTCCAGGCCAGTGGAATAGCATTGTGAGACATGTCCATGAAAAATTCAAAAAGGCATTAGAAGAATTCTAAGCCATCGGCGACTACATTTTTAATCATTTTATTCTTAGTCTTTTCCTTTTCAATTACATGTGGCGCGAAGACTTTAAACATATCACCTGTACGAACTCTCGAAAGAGCTGTATAAAGATTTCCATGACCGAACACCTGATGTGTAAGGTCGAGTCCGACGCGTGTTGCAGTTTGGCCTTGGGCCTTCATGATCGTCATTGCATATGCAAGACGAACAGGAAACTGCAACCGTCTGAAATTAACTCCATCTGCTTGATGGTCTTCATAATTGCACCACACTCGTGAAAGGCAAATTATAGTTCCTGAGCCAGCCACAGAACCGGTTACAACCTCAACCTTCAAGATGTCATCACCTAACTCCTTTACAATCATT